TCTTCGATGGTCACCAACGCCACAAGTGTGAAGTTGTGGCTCAAGGATACATGACGCACACTATTAACCCGAGTGTTCACGGACCATGATACCCTGGACTCAGGCTCCGTCAATTGAAATCCATATTTGGCCTTCCTTCCTTTCGCCACCGTCGCATTCAGGCAAAGGTACTCGTCGATCCACGTGCCATTGCTGGCCGTATCGGACAAAACTGCCACCAGACCCGCCGTGGATATAGACAACCCGGAGAAGAAGGCGTCCTTTTTTGCCCAAGTGCTGAGGACGGACTTGATTGTACTCAGTTCCTCCGTCAGGCGGGAAAGCGACATGACACTGCTTTCATAATCGCCCCTCCGTTGTAAAAGATGCAAATTTCCATCCGAGTACAGCAGGGTTCTGTCAAGCTCCCAATTCACATCATCCTCCACGGCAACAGGTCCAACATAAAAAGAACGGTTGTTGTCCGTGACCCAAAGATAGAGCGCTCTTTCCGCTTCACCCCCCGACGCGTACCCTCTCTGAATGTACAGCATGACCTTCCTTCCCTCAATGCTCGCGGTGATGAGGGCCTCCACATAAAAGCTCAGATCCAAAATGGCTGTCGATTTTGACTTGGTCCACACGCCTGGGAGTGTCCCGATGGTCCCCGTCCACGTTGCCCCCACGTCACGCGACTCGTACACCCTCTGGCCGTCCTCGCAATCAACAATCATGAGAAGTGATCCCTCCCATTCGGTGACGCGGGGGCGGGAGCATTTCGCAGGAGACGTTCCATTCGAAAGCATCCAGTTTGCGCCGCTGTCCGTCGAATAAATGATCATGGAGTAATCGTCATCATCAACATCAAACGCAAACGCGGGAAACACAAGCGTGCCACCCTCCATCAGAACACCTGAGCCACCAGAAGGAAAAACCCTCTCAAATTTACGTTCGTAAGGAGCAGCAGAGGTATTCAGGACTGACAGCAATTTGGGGTTGTCCCAGCTGATCCGTTCACTCGGCTTGCCACCCGTAGAATTCGTGACAGTACCCACAACCAGTGTCAGATGCAAGCTGTCCCAAATCATACTCTCATGTTCATTGAAAAATTCAACGCCTCCCAAAAGAAATACCTTGTTGCCCTTCGTGGTTGTTGTGGGGTGGTGCACACCACCCAAAAGTTTCTGTCCATCCGCTCCAGTAGGCACGGTGTGTGCCCTCCATGAGCTTTGATTGACCTTGCCAACAAGAGTGGTCCAGTTCCACGCAGAGTCAATGTACCCCGCAACAACATCAGAGTAAGAGGGCGTAATTAATTTGGCACCGTCTTTTTGGGCGTTCGTGCGAACTTTGGCGTTTGTGTGGCCTTCGGCAAAAGCAGCAATTACTCCACCAGCACTGACAAGAGATGGTGAAACAAATGAGTCCCGCTTCGTCCCTGGAGTACCTCCACCTTTCGGCAGCACCTGCGTCTTATTCGGCACAAATAGATCGATCCTCTGCAGCTTCAGAAAATTCCTTAAATCACTCTTCCCATTATTCCCTCCAGCGGCCGCAGCTCCACAGGTACCGCAGCACATCATCACGACGAGGAGCAGCGCCGCAGAAGCAAACACATGCCGGGACATGCTGGGCCTCGGCGGCACACTCTCTCTTCTTTCCCTCCTCCTTCCGCTGGAGCCGGTCACGCGGCGACGGTTGTGTGTGCGGGGTGCCTTCACAGCCGCAACACGTGAGAGCATACAAATATGTGTGTGGGCGGTGTGTGTGTGCTGTTGGTCCTTTCAGAGCCTTCAAATTTCACAGTAGCGATTAGCGCTTGTTTGCTTTCTTTCCTAGCGTGTCTGTTCAAGAAGTGGAGAGGAGCAAAGCAGCGGCAGAAAGGCAACAAAAACGGCAATACATCAGACACGTCACTGAAAAGCACGGAGTGTCGCTGCAGTAAAAGCAATTGTTTCCTCCCACCACACACATGGAGTGAAAGGAATGTGTGTCTGTGTGTCCAAAAAGGGGACGCGCAACCAACGACAGGCGTGTCCTCGTCATGCACAAACACAGCTCGGGCTGCCGTTATCTCCCCCGCAGCCGCATGCGTCATTGGCTCCACAAGTAGAAGGAGATGAAGCGTGATGGGGAGCGACAGCAACACCCTTTTCCCTCGTCTATTCCCAAATAAATTCTATAACCCGCACGCCAGCCACCATCGTCGAGCACGTCCGCCCCACTCAGTGGGAATGTAAAAGAAAGCCCCTGCCCCCGGAGAGGGAGTTGCGGCGGAGACCGTGAAAAGCAGACCCCTTATGCATCGGCGAGGGGAATTGTGCCTTCTCTCCGCGTGGAGCGCTGTTGAGGACAGAGCCTTTCTACCTCAATAACCCGCGCTCAACGTTTTGGTGAAGCACAGTCTCCTCGCTTCTTCAGTGTCCATTCCACGTTTTTTGTCCGGGCACCTGCAGAGCCGGGCAGCGGAGTAGATGCAGAATTGTCTCTTCGCGCAGCTCACGTTGGCTGGTTTTCACAATGTCCAGTCGGTGGTTGTGGCATGCCGTGCGGCGGTGGGTCAATCCTTCACTGCTGTGGCACCGAAAGCCGCATGCTGGACGGCGAAATTCAACAGGTGGTGATCTTATCGGGGTGTCGTCGGCAGGCGACGTGCGCTTCCTCGGTGGCCTGACCCCTCTGCCATCATGAAATCGGCGACAGTGTGGCGTTGATGATTGGATGTGTGCGCGCCATTTTGAGCACACGGTGCACTGTTTCTCGATGGCATTCCCCTCCTGCGCGGCAGAGACAGCCGCCCTCGGGAGCAAAGTCGCTATGCGGGTTGTGCCTCAATTGTGGTGAGGGCCACGTGGAGACTCCTGTCGTCCTTTCCTTCACTTGCTTGGGTCTTTCGTGTTCCGGCGACGGCGGCGGGCGGTGACCAGTGCCAGCCCCAACAACCCGCAGGCATGCACGGACACACAACAACAACGGTCCCCAGCAACGCGTGCGCCACAAAGTCACAAAATCTCCTCCTCCTCTCCCCCCCAAAAAAAGACCGTAGTGATCGTTGGGCAAAAACCCAAGAAGGAAGGCGCACCCCAGCGGAGTGCCCACAGTTCTCTCGCCCCAAACAGAAAACAAACCGAAACAGATTCACAAACAATTCACTCCTTGCATCCCCCCATCCCATCCCCAAGCACCATCAGTAATGACATGTGAAGCGCTTCTCAACAGCACCCCACTTCGCGGGCTCGTTTCGACTTCCCAGCGCCGACCACCCACATCAGCGCAGCGCTGCGGGAGCGAAAGGCGGTGGGAAATAAATTCACAAACAAAATCAATACAACGCAGCACCCACTGCAATCCGCTCCACGAAAAAAAGCAGCAATGATGACGGTGGCAACACAAAAAAAAAACACAAAGACAACGCCTCAGCGGTGCGGCCACGCAACAAACCCGTAGCAATGCCACTACCACCAGCACCATCCAAAATGCGATCCCTTCCACCTCCCAGACACATCGCAGTGCTCGTTGAGGCAAAGCACCACAGGGATTCTCGGGGAGAAACATGCGCCTGTTTCACTCACTGTAGAAGACACGTACTTCTGCATCCGCTATCCCCCACCTGGCACCGACATCCCTTCCTCAGCCCAAATTCCGCAACAGCCACCGCCGCCTCCCTACACTCACCCTCAGTCGGGTGCTCAACCGCGCCGCATCTCTGCCAGCCACCCATCAGCACCCTGTCTGCGTGTTGCACATAAATAATCTCCCACAACATTTCTCGAAATAACTCCTCCCAACCATTAAATTACGCCGCCAGACGCTCATTGCACTGCCTCACAGTGCCGGCGGTGGTGCTATGCTCACCCGCCGTAGCCATCCGCAGCCCAACCAGCGTCTTCCGCGGCGAATCAACAAAGAAAAAAAGCCGTCCACCAGCCAAAAGGTTTCGACCTACGGAATGTACAGCACCCCTCACTCTACATCAGTCTTCTGGTAACGGTGTTCCACAGACGGGAAAAAATCGTGCCCGGTGGAGCCCTCCTGTGAGTACACCTCCGGCGCAAAGCGGTGGGACTGACGTCGTGTTGGTGGCCTCAGCCCCTCCAGTTTGAGTCCTACTGCAGTCACGGAATCCCCGTTTAAAAATGCAAACACAGTGTAATTCCCCAAACTTTTTGGTATTCAATAATCTCTGACCCTCGATACAAATAAGTTAAAATCAGCCTGCGGTATTAACTTTGCCAACATGCACAATGTTTTACTCGCGAAGTGGGCAGACATCGGTGCATTGAAAGGCAATTCGCCATTGCGCTCTCCTTGTACTCAGACGGTATCCACAAGCTTGTGGGACACGTTATTAACATCTCACATTTTATTAGATCCCAAAGTAAGGTAATATTTGGTATCCAAAGCGGTCATCTTATCAACCGTACTGTTGCAAACCCAAATCCGACCACCAGATCATCGCTTATCAAAGGTGTAGCAAAGAAGCAGTCCCACTTTATCCATGCAACCCTTTACCTCCCTCCAGTACTCTGCCTGCTTACCAAAAGGCTGGTCACGCTTCATCCAAACACACAACGCCTTCACTTCTTTTTCTTCTGGGTAATTCATTACGATTCTTACGGCTGTCCCTTGGTTGTACCATTCCTTAAAGTTACCCTCGTTCGGTGTTGTTACCATAGCCATGCCCCATTCATGAGGAAGCCGCATCCTAGACGGATCACGACCCTTCTTTGCCGCGCAGTAGACAACATACCCCTTCACCCCACGCCAAGACAAACTCCTCACAACAGACACATTACTGGAGTCACCCATGTATACTGACACCGCTTGACGGTCTTGTCAAACACTTACGTCGTATCTCCCAAACAGTGGAAAACAACCTGGAGTTGCTCCGCATCGCAGTGCAGCAGCTGGTAGAGGAGGTAAGAACCGGCATTCATCGACTTCCCAATCCCGGGCGTCCCAATCATGACACGCGGATGAGGCTTAAAGTGCTCCTCAGGACGACTGTTAAACCACTCGGTTACATCGCCCTCGACGATCTGCCACACGCGCTCCACCTCACAGTTCACATGGCAGTCAAAAATAGGTTCCGTCCCCCCCCCCACGAGTACGGCCATCCCTTGTCCGAGGTGAGCACCATCAGCCTGGAACGCGGTGCACCGGATTGCTCCACACCGTCATCCTTTTCAAGAGTTCGGCCAACTGCCTTGTACGTCCATGACTGCGGCGGTTCCCCCTCCTTCACCTCCATTCCCGTCCCTTTATCACCAGGGACTTCCACGGCATGGCTCCACCTCGCATTCTACACAGACTCGTAGAATCCCCTGCATGAATTCCTTTCCACTCAACTGTAAATAGCCCACATTAATCGCCGCACCCACTCCACTCTTCTGCGAGTCGCAGCAGGCTGATCCACGTCAGTTTGGGGCTCTGGCCTCGCCCTCCTCTGACGATCTCCCTGCGGTACAGCAGACGCGAGACTCTTGGCATTGTCATTGTGTACACTCTTGCGCTTTCCAGACATTGTTTCTCCTTGTTTTCCTAGTTGGATTCAGTTAAAGCTAAAACTAACAAGCAATCTAAAGGGGAATAATAATAAAAAATACGCACAAAAACGACTAGCAGACACAACAGGAGAGTCATCTACACAGTGTGACGGCACAGTGTGCGATACAAAACAAATGCACGAGGACCACCGCAACGACGGCAAGTGGGAGCCGTCCACCCAGCACAACGTTAGGAAAAGCTAACAACAACAACAAAGTGGTGCGCACGGAGGGTTCGCTCACGCATTCCGCTCGCTACGGTCTCACATCCGTGTGGCACCGCCGTCACCGCACACGCTCTGCAATAATACATGCGCGCATATCGTCCCTGACACGTACAAACCCACAAAAGTGGGAAGGGGATTCGATAAAGCAGCGGCCACACGCAGGGAACACAAATCATACACGCCACAACAGCGATGCATCATGGCAGCCTCCCAGGCAAAATAAAAGAAAAAGGCAAAAGGCAAATTACGTGCTTCATGGAATATTCCCGCAATTCGCACAGCACAAAAGAATCATAACGCTCCCTTTCTCATTGCATTCGCCATTTATATTCCCAATGCGTAGCACCACAGATATTGCCCCTCCATGGTGAAAACGAATGCCTTGTTGTGGTGTCATCGCGCAGCCATCCGCCTGGTTAAAAACAAAAGGAAAATCAGGCGTCCGTCCGCCTGAAGGAAGAGAGACTCAGCCGCAGTGTCCTCCACAACACAAACACTCCGCGGCCAGTGCCCGGTGTCGTGTGCGGACTCCGCGAGGGGTTTGTGGGCACGCCACTGTGCCACATGGTGTGACCCCTCGGAACGCAACAGCAGACGTGTTCCCTTCCGGTCGCACTCGTGTCAGTGGCGGCTTCCGCTGCCTCGCTGCGTGCTGGTGGCGTCGACTAAGATGCTGCAGTGTGATATAGAATGCCCGGCACGAGCGGTGCTGCGTTGGGCGGGCAATGCCTTCCGCGGCGAGACACCCAGCGCGACTGCTGACCGCTGCACTCACGCAATTCCCTCCACTCCTCCCCCTCCATTCGGCAATCACACAGCCGCCGGCATATTGACCCCGAAACAACACACACGTGAAAACGTGGCAGCATATTTCCCGAGAGAACACAGTGGCAGCCACACGCTGCGGCCATCGTGCCGACACGTCCAACGCGGCCGCGCCCACACCCACAGCAGCAGACACAAAAAAAGATCTTCCACCCCGTGCCACGTCCTCGTGCGTGATGGTGCGGCATTTCAGAGCAATACCGCCACACGCCGTGCAGCATTCCCACAGGGGATGAGAGCCGCGGCGCACTCTCACCGCCTCCCCCTTCCTTCTCCTCATGTCCCCGGAGTGACGCAGCTGCCAGCACCGACTGCAGGAGGAGCATCCAACTGCACCGCAACATGTACGCCGTGCGTTTGTGTGTGCCTGCAGTCACGCAAAGAATAAAAAAAGAGAAGAAAAAAAGAGAGCCACGCAAGTGAAGGGGCACGCACAAACACGCAGCAGAGGTGCAGGACGGAAAAAAAGGGAGGATGAAAGCCGCTGAGGCTCGAGATGGCACGGCAGCCCAACCAGCGGCAACCCACAATAATTTTCCTAAAATAAAAATAAGTTAGAAATTTTCTAAAGCCCCTTTAAAAAACCCTGCACACCCATTAAAGAACTAAAAAAAAAAAAAAAAGAATCCCATCGTGACGCGGCAAAAAAAAAAAAGACTGCTTGTACATTATTCATGCAAAAGTAAAAATACATTTGCCTCGACCGCTCAGCCCTATGGTGTCTACACAACACCCAAATTTCATTGGGGCGCTCAGTGCGTTTTTTTTCTTCTTGCATCCCAACTCCTTTTTTTTTCTTTTTTTTCACTCCGTCATCGTCGTGGCGTTCAATGCCGAGTGCACTTATCATCGGCCGATGGAAACATTAAATACAATCCGCCATTATCAGAAAATTACACCATATAGGAGAAGACAAATATACGTATATATAATGAAAGAGAAGAAAAAAATATATAACCAGCGGTGCAGTCCCGGGAGGGGGAGCACGCCCTTACATAACGACCTTCATGGGGAGAGGGGTATTCAAACCAAAAATAAAAATACATAAAATAAACGGTGCATCCACAAAAAGTTGGCAATTACTTCGGAGGGTGAGTGGAGAGGCACATATAGCTCCCGCCGGTGGCAGGAAGTCCTCACTGCAATTTCTCAGTAAAGGGCCGCAATGCCCCACATCCCCAGCAGCATCAGCAGAAGCAGCGCCCGCGACACGCCCCCATGCATGGAGCCGTCACTTTTCTTGATCATTCTTAGTTCATCAACACCCAGTGGGCGGTTGTACAAGAAGACGTTCTTCACCGTCATAGGAGAGTTGTGCATTTCGCACGCGCCAAAGCAAAAGCCTGCGAGCTCAAGTGGTGTCTCACCCGTTAACAGCGTTACCTCTTCCCCCAGCAACTTGCCATCAATGTACACAGAGGCCTTTTTGCCTTGCAGCATGAGTGCCACTTGGTATTCTTTCTTCGGCTCCCAACGGCCGCTCTCTGTTGTCTTGTCGTTGAACATCGTCACCCACGTCTTATCCGCCGTATACAAGATTCCCATGGTAAGCGGGGAATTAGTGTCCCCCAACGTCGCACCCAGTAGAGGAGTGTTATTACTCGGAGTCTCTTCGATGGTCACCGACGCCACAAGTGTGAAGTTGTGGCTCAAAAACACATGACGCACTTTATCATCCGGAATGTTCACAGGCCACATTACCCCGGAGTCAGGCTCCGTCAATTGAAATCCATCCTTGACCTTCCTTCCTTTCGTCACCGTCGCATTCAGGCAAAGGTAATCGTCGATCCACGTGTCACCGCTAGCCGCATCGGACAAAACTGCCACCAGACCCGCCGTGGATATAGACAACCCGGAGAAGAAGGCGTCCTTTTTTGCCCAATTGCTGAGGACGGACTTGATTGTACTCAGTTCCTCCGTCAGGCGGGAAAGCGACATGACACTGCTTTCATAATCGCCCCTCCGTTGTAAAAGATGCAAATTTCCATCCGAGTACAGCAGGCTGCTGACGAACTCCCACTTCTCAACCTCCTCCACGGCAACAGGTCCAAAATAAAAAGAACGGTTGTTGTCCGTGACCCAAAGATAGAGCGCTCTTTCCGCTTCACCCCCCGACGCGTACCCTCTCTGAATGTACAGCATGACCTTCCTTCCCTCAATGCTCGCGGTGATGAGGGCCTCCACATAAAAGCTCAGATCCAAAATGGCTGTCGGTTTTGACTTGGTCCACACGCCTGGGAGTGTCCCGATGGTCCCCGTCCACGTTGCCCCCACGTCACGCGACTCGTACACCCTCTGGCCGTCCTCGCAATCAACAATCATGAGAAGTGATCCCTCCCATTCGGTGACGCGGGGGCGGGAGCATTTCGCAGGAGACGTTCCATTCGAAAGCATCCAGTTTGCGCCGCTGTCCGTCGAATAAATGATCATGGAGTAAATGTCTTCTGCTTCATTCCTCGCCATCAGAGGAAACACAAGCGTGCCACCCTCCATCAGAAAACCTGAGCCACCAGAAGAAGCAAAATCCTTCAATCCAGCTTTGGGTGTCTTTAAAGTAGTCTGGCTTAACGATGTGGGTGAGCCCCACGTGATCCATCCACTCTGCTCGCTGTCCGTAGGCTTCGTGACATCACCCACAACCAGTTTCAGATCCGGGCTGTCCCGTTTCCAAATCCCACCACTTTCATTGAGCATGTCATAGCTTGTCGCAAGAAGAAACACCTTATTGTCCTTCGTGGTGATTGTGGGGTTGAACACATCGCCCACACGATTATCCGCTCCATCCGTTGTACCAAGCACGTTGTGTGCCCTCCATGTACTTTCACTCACCTTTTCAACAAGAGTGGACCAATCCCACAAAGAGTCAATGTACCCCGCAACAACATCAGAAGAAATTGGCTTAATTACTTTACCATCAGCGGCATATTGGGCATTTATTTTGCCTCTGGCAAAAGCAGCAATTACTCCACCAGCACTGACAAGAGATGGTGAAACAAATCCATCCCGCTTCGTCCCTGGAGTACCTCCACCTTTCGGCAGCACCTGCGTCTTATTCGGCACAAATAGATCGATCCATTGCAGCTCCTGAACACTTCTTAAATCACTGTTGCCATCATTCTCCCTTGCAGGCGTAGCTCCACAGGTGCTGCAGCACATCATCACGACGAGGAGCAGCGCAGCAGAATAAAAGAGATGCCGGGACATGCTGGGCCTCTGCCGCTCACTCGCTCTTCTTTCCCTCCTCCTTCCGCTGGAGCCGGTCACGCGGCGACGGTTGTGTGTGCGGGGTGCCTTCACAGCCGCAACACGTGAGAGCATACAAATATGTGTGTGGGCGGTGTGTGTGTGCTGTTGGTCCTTTCAAAGCCTTCGATTTTCACAGTAGCGATTAGCGCTTGTTTGCTTTCTTTCCTAGCGTGTCTGTGTTCAAAAAGTAGAGGGAAAAGGGAAAACAAGCCAAGTAAAGAGATGAGACAGCGAGCACCGCCACTCCGCACCGGCCATCGCGGGCGTCACGGCGGGCCGTCGGTGTGTGCGGGCCAGCCCTCACGCGGTGCAACACGCCACACACCCAACAGGGAATGACAGACAGACAGACAGAGAGGCAGTGAGTTGAATGGATGCCGTCAAGAGGCACTCACACTCAACATGGCCCGTGAGCATGCGGCCACTCCACGCAGGAACATACAACGCACACGGAGCGAGCACCCACACTGTTCGCTCATTCCACCCTCAATGAGATGCAGTGCTTCACTCCACGCAATGACATGGGGTGAGTATCCGCCCGGGAGGCTGACCGAATGCCGAAATTATCTCTAGAACCCTCACAAGAATAAAAAAAGGAGTAAATGGAATAAGAGTGTGCTTCCCACATCCCCAAAATTTAACCAATTAATTGTATATATATTATCTGATAGGCACAAGACCCCGCCGCTCCCCTTCGCAAGTTCCACCCCTTCGCCAAGTCCTGAATTCTAAAAACGCGACTGTGTGATATGCGGTCTGCAGGGTTTTCCGCTGACCGCACGTAACCAGAGGATGCCTGTATTCCGCGAGAGTCAAAAAAACTAATATATCCGTTGCAGCTCCCACGTCATGGCGTGCGATCTCGAGCTGCCTTTAGTCGTCGCTCCTTGCAGCGAAGTGTTGTCCACCCAAGCGTCCACGGTGCGTGGCAAGATGGCGGAAAAGGCCGATAAGGCCAAGCGGACCGCACGCACCTCGGCCTGCATGATAAGAAAAGACTTCCTCTTCCATTTCCCTCCGGCAATTTTAACGTCGCCGGAGTCTGGAATAAAAACGGCTCCCCATCCATGGAGCGATGCGTCCGTGATGCTGGCGGCCGATACCATTTCCGTGGAATTGATGATTCGCTTACGATTATTCCCGATAATGTGTCGTAATCTCTCGCCCGAACCAACCGCTGCCGACGGTAGGTTCGCCGGGGATGTCTCCAGGACAATCCCCCTGTCAAGTGCGGACAATCGTCGTCGCACTGCCTTGATGGAAAAGTGGTGGTCGCATAAACGCGTGCACCAAATGGCAGCCAAATATAAAAAGCGTGACGCCATAAACTCCATTTCCGCGATGATTAAAGAATTGAGCGCCGGCATGGCGCATACAGACCGGAAAAACCTCTCACTCAGGGATACCGTCTGGTGAGTGTGACCAAACTGCATCCCAGGAAGTTGCAATGCGTAGCGCCCGATTCGCGTTCCTCCCCCAAGGATGCGTGACAACTGTCCGCATTACGAAGCACTTGGGCTTCCCACAATGTCACATCGCTTTTCGACCCTGCAATGCGTATATTATCGATCCATACGTCGATGCGCACCAATGGAGGTGCGGCCCAGAGGGGGTGAACCACCGTCGTCACCCTCGCAATTGCCAAGGTAATCTGGAGAATTTCTGGGCCGGCCTTGTATCCCACTGGGTGCCGTGTCAGCTCCACCAGCGTACCGTCCTCCACGCGGCATCGAAAGAGATGCCGAGTCTCCCGCGGTAAAGAGACTATGAAGGACGACTTTAAATCCAGGCGGGAAGCGGCCTCAGCCATCACAGGCGGCAAATAATGGGAAATGTGTAAAAGAGGAACATTCGCCTCGTAAGCGTCGTCGCTGTTCCTGTCGCGTGGCCACGCGATCCATCGTCGTAAGCCGGTGGTTTTCTCCTCCACAACCGAGAAAGGTATTATCCATCCGCTTGTTATTGTGGACGAAGCGTCCTCGATTATTCCTGCTTTTCGTAACAATCTCGCGTCAGCGGTTGGAATCCTCCGTGAGCCTTCGCGCGCTTTACCGGAGAAGGGCAGAGGGAAAGGGGACCGCCCGACGAGTCCCAAAACTTGCATGAGACTCTCCAGGGTGGCCGGGTTCAACCGACTTTTAATCCACTCTAGGTTCAATACGGGCACGTTGACCTGCTGTAGCTGGATGGTTAGTTCATCTTGTGGAGTGGCCATACGCGTCCTTGGCGTGCGTCTCGTTATTGTAGCGGCATGACTGTGATAAAATCATGGAAAAAACGCTCCTCTGTTCTCAGCCAGAGTTCCGGCCCTTCCGCGGTGTCTCCCTTCACATCAATGCAACCAGCGACGACACCTGGGTCAGCAGTGTGGTGCACTTCCACAAATATCGAACAGTATTCTGGGGAAGGTCAAACGGGTCGACGTGCTTCGCCAACTGCAAGATCACGTGTGGGTTCAAATTGTATTTCTCCACGATTTGCGCAACGTGTCTCAACGCTCCCCGTTTTATGGAATGCGCCGTGGCATTCCAATGAGCCAAAGCTCGTTCGACTTTGGCATTAGTAATGTTCGTGAGCTTTTCGTTCTCTTAAAGTGTCCTGCATAACTTTATAGTGTCGAAGGCGTCCTGCCCTCGTATCCTCACGAACCGCAAGAAGCAGTGGGGATCCGCCCTCGCCGTCTTCGGCGCCACGGACCTATCCAACAACTAAGCTCCCGTCCGGCTCCAGTGTGAAATTTTTGGCTCTCAAGGCCGCAATCCCCAACCAAAGCCTCGCCGTTATCCATGCAATTCGAACAACAACACGTTCCTTCCAATCGGTCCGGCTGCGGATTACTTGATTCATCTCTTCCTTTGTCAAGGGGCGTGCCTGCTTCGTCTCCGATCGCGCCGCAATCTTTTGTAACCCCAGAATCACCATGTCCAGCGGGGTTCGACTCATTTCCGACATGGACCGCAGCATCCTGGCGTACTGCAGCCGGGTCAATGGCGCCACATCTAATGTTGCCGCCAAAAGGCCGCGCGGCTCTCCTTGTTGATCGGCTGTTCGTGCGTGCGGCAAAAGGTTGTGAATTGCCCAGCTAGAGACATTCTCTGCTCCCACGTTGACGGCGCACATCTCTCGAGCCACCTCGTTTGCTTTCCTCATGTAGCTGGCCCAAAGCGGGGATTTCATTGATTTGCCATACCACAGTCGAGCGTCGTTGGCGGATAAGCTCCATTGCCCTTCCAGACGATTTCGTCGGGCAATTTGTAATATCGGATGGAGTGTCGGCGGCGCGGTGCAACGCCTGTGAGGATTGGTGGGAAGTGGTGGAATGGATGGAGGCTGCCTTCGTTCGCCTTCATGGGCGGCAAGCAGCTCCTCTGCCGTTTTTTGATGGCCATCCGCGCGGCAAGTAATTCCATCTGGCTGCGCTGCGCACGTTGCACATAGATGCGTCGTGTACATAAATGTGAAAAAATTGACATCGCAACGATCGCTGTTATGCGTAGGCGGGCGCTCAGTCTGGAGAGCGGGATGCTGGGTTCGGATGCCAAAATGAGCTGCAACCGGAATGCCTGCAGTAGGTTCCTGCCCAATTTCATGAACTGCTCGGCAGGATCCCGCTCTGCTTCCTGTGCGCGCTCGCACGATACAAAAATGTCAAAGGCAACTTGAACCTGAGCGTCCACTTGGTGCAAATTATAATTTTATGCGCTCTTGAGACTGTCGACAACTCCGGAGATGCCCTCATTCCATATACGCGTGGCCCAAGTGTCAACGTCCAATGCAATAAAATGCAGTAACTGATCCTCTGGAGCAAAATCTCGTTCCAAGGGTAAGGTGCGAAAAGGCAAAGTCACGGTGTGGGAGCTATGTGGTCTCCCGAAATTGCCCTGAGAATTTCGGGTGTTGACCCGCCGTCTCTCCCTCCCGTGAGATTGCGTTAGGGAAACGTGGATTCTGGCACGCCCCCAGCCATCAAATGATGTGGTTGGTGTGGCCGTGTGTTGACGCCATCGTCGCGCATGCATGAGTGGGGGTTCATCTGGCGGCCCTCTCCGAGAGGTGGGCACTTCTCGTTGACACGGCGTCCCACCGACCCGCAAAAAGGCCGCCAGCCACCGCAATGTGGGATTCAGAAGCCAGCAGGTAATTATACGCCTCTTCCACCTGCAAATAAAGCTGCGCATTGCGATTCTGAACGTCCGCGACAAACTGCAGGAGCAATTGGGTCTCGAAAATTGGTACTTGAGGCACCCGGAGGTTCGCAAAGTGCCCCACAAGGGTTGAATCCCCCCAGTGCTTGGCGATGTCCTCTGAAATCCAGCGTCTGACTGCCATTGTTGCAGCAAAGGTTACCACCACGTCCAACGGCCTGTGCTCATCCATGTAGGCGAGTTGCGCCTGTATATTGCATTGATGACGTACCAATAAGAATTCATTCCGTCGCGTTGTAAAGAGGGGATGCTTAACATTTCGTTAAACAAAATTGCAGAAATCCACCGTGGCTGTAATAAAAATGTCGATGAAAATATTTATAAATATCCTATACGTTATTGGTGATTCCTTAATTCCTTCAATCGCGGAAAACCCAAAGACTCATAAAGTATGAGAAAATTGTACAGAGAAATCTTCTTCTTATCAGAACATGTGTATTCATTCAGGCAACCAGCTTTCATCGTGCAAACACAAATTTGCACACGCTCCAAAAAAATATAAAAAAATAAAAAATAAAAAATAAAAACTCCACTCAATAGCCATGAAATTGATTCAAGGCGGTGGAAACAGAGGAAAATGAGTGAATACAAGGATATCCAAAAAGCCATTGGGCTGATGAAGAGAAAGAGGGGTATGTATGTATGTGGGGGAGGGATAGGTCAGTGTACGAATCGATAAGGCATTGAGTTTTCATGTGCGGTTCTCCGCGTCCAAAGGTGTCCTAAGCTTGTGACTCATCATGGCAGTGGTGGTGGCGGCAGAAAGAGCAATTCTGCATGAGTGAAGTGGCATACATGCATTCGCATTTCATGCTCCTTCTCTCTTTCTCTCTCTCTGTATTTGTGTGTGTGTGTGTGTGTGTGTGTGTGTAAAATTCCCGGTCGTTGTAAAGTACAAAATCAAAGAAGAAAAAAACAAAAACAAGAACGAGAGGCAAAGCAGGTCCTCTTGCAAGTGCACGAATGCAGTGAAAGAAGTCGACAATGACGCGACATGCACAGAAAAGATCTTCCCGCATGGCAGACGACAAGAACAAAAAATAAATACAAAAAAAAAAAGGAAGAAGAAGAAGAAACCCGTGATTCAAAAAATGAGTTTTCACCTCATAAATTTTCGGCGCCACCACGGCGGTGATGTCCCGCGCACAAACTCCAGAAACTTCGTGCAGTCCTCAAACAACCCCGTGTCTCGCCCAAGCTCCCCTATCAACGCCACCGAAAAGCCCGCCTCCAGCTGCAGCGAAACCATCGGGTTGCCGCCAAGCGAGAAAGGCAGCAGGGGGCCGATGCTGCGCAGACTCCCGTTCACATATGGTTCCGATAGGATGGGCGTTACAATGAGATCAACATCGAGAAACTGTTCCTCCGTTGCCCGCACAACGTTGTCGCGAGTTTGCAGGGCTCGTTGGTAATCAAGATTCGTGAGTGCCCTGCCATTGAAAATGGCTGTCACCAGCCCCTCTGGAAGCTCATCCAACAGACCGAATTGCGACATTGTATTGGCGTGTGACGGCGACGACGCCCTGTTTCTATTGTGGCTTGCTGGAGTAAAGAGGGTGTCAAAGGCCCGTGAGATTTCATAAAAGAAAATGGTTTGAATGGCGTTGACCACCACCTCGATGTCAATGTTTAGTGTTACTGGAATGACCTCCAGTAACTCGTTCTTTCGCATGGCATTTTGAGTCGCGGCAAGACGGAGAATACGGCGACGAAACTCATCGGCGGAAAGCAAACGCTCCTTACAGAGTGTGTCAATCCAGTCCGCTGGGTAACCAACGGACAACTCGATATGACGGCCCCGAAGCTCTTCGTTTGAAGCAAACGTGTTGATTGTATCCCAGCTTTTATAATCCGTGAGACGTGACTGTCTAGCACTCCCACGTCCCCCTCCACCACCAATACCACTACTACCACCACTGTTACTACTGGTGCTGTTGCTGCGGTTACTAGTAATTTTTTTGCTGTTGTTGCTGCCGCGGCTGTTGACACTACTGGCATTATTGTCATGCTCTGTGTCGGTACTTCCGCCAATATTTTTGCTGTTTCCAGTGTTTGACTCTCTTCGATTTTCTTCCTGGAGGTAACTCGGTTGAATCGCTGAGGTAAATACCTCCCAGAGGTAGAAGATATCATCGAGGCGAGCCGCTGTTACACCAATAGACATGGAAGGAATACCCAATTTGTACCCATCCGTAAAGGTCGCAAATGATTGTGCGGTGGGCTTAAATGCGGCAACATCGTAGTGTATCGGCGACGTCATTGCCGCTGGCCCCATGAGAGCAGATCCAATGGCATAATTACATGCATTCTGATATACCGCCACAGCAGCAGGGCACTCCGGAACAAGCACACTTGCCTCGCCCATCGATAGCGGGGTCTGACAAGCCAACTTCCCAATGAACTGTGCTCCATGGCGACGCAGCCAGGAGACAAAAGCAAATTCCGTATGTGGCATTTGATGAAGCAGCTGCGACTCGGTCCCGTAGCGCGTTCGAAACTCCCGCACATCTAGCGCGTCCGAGACGCCAATGGCAACACCGCTTAGCATGCCGTCAGAGAAGAAACTCCGCCCGAGGTCTCCCTCCCCCGCCACCTCCAGAAAACACAACGGCGGTGGTTTCACCTGCTTCGCTTTTGCCGAAGCCCGACCACTTGCCGTGAGTGCCTCCGCGCGTTGCCGCATTTCCTCCACCACCCGCCGCTGCTCCGCCGTTTTGTGGTGCAGACGGCTCATTGCCCGTCGAACACTCAAATCCCCAACCATTTCTTTCTTTCGTTTTTTTTTTCTTCTCCCTTTTCGTTGCGTCTCAGTTCTCAGAGTTTTTACCACCGCCTAAATCCCTGTATATATATATATATATATATATATATATGTGTGTGTGTGTTTATGTGTGTCGCGGCCGCCTCGCTTCAGATGGGAATTCGAATGCCTCTCTTCCCCTTTCCACATGCAAGCTCTCCCCTTCGCCCTCTCCTACCCTCCTCTCAATGGACGGGAGATTTAAAAGAAAAATAATACTAATAATAAATAAATAAATAAATAAATAAAACATGAGAGCAATGATAGATTCACTTAGAGAATATCCATTGGCGTCCGTTGGTGATGGCACAGGCCACATAAAACTTTTTCACAACTAGTTTGATACATGCACACAGTACATGCATAATATGCGCATTTCAATGTCCCACGTGATGCAGGCGATGTATAAACACGGGGAAAAAAAGAAGAAGAAAAGAAAAACAAATTTTTGATATATATATATATATATTAACCAATTACTTTAAAAGTTCCTTTTTTTTTCCCTCCAATTCTTCCTCATTTTCCCCTTGTTGTTTGTTTGTTTGTTTTTTGATTGGTTGTTTTTTCTTCTCTCGCTCTCCTCTACCACTGGGGAGCCCAACTAGACCAACGATGCGGGGCCTCTGGAGTCCCTAAAAGATTCTCCTGGCTAACGGCAGAACGAATAAGCTGCTTTACTCTCTCTTCAATATTTTCTACTACATCGCAATGGTATTGATCCGCCATTGTGTCATCTGCCTCTTTTGACGGGGGTTCATGAAACTTAATTGTACTATTTTCGCTGGGATAAAGCTGAATAAGTTCTTCAGAGCGTGCAAATTGAGGATCATCAAAAACAGTAACGATAGGTTCATCAAGCATGGGTATCCGGTCATCCATGAGCTTCAATAAGATGGAGGAAACATCAAAAATTCGTGGAGTAAAGGAAAGATGGTGTAAAGTCATCCTCCTCGCCCCCCATGTATACAATGCTGCGGTATTAATTGTGGAAAAGGACATTTTTCGTGCCGCCTCCATCGCTGAAATTGTTGTTGCTGCCGTTGCTTTTCGTTTCGTCACGGCAACGGTGGCGCCAATGTCTGTGGCCGTCGTCGCGACGGCAGAAGTACGTTTACGCTCCAGCTCACAATTCGCCTCCGATTTTGCCGGTTGCATCAGAGGTTCCTGCACAACACCGCCGCCAGGTATGGTGACGGTGGTCTCAGACACTTTGGTTGGACTCGAGATGAGGGAGAGTCGTTCCACCATGACGTTCAGACCCACCGTCTGAGCCGCCCCTTCCACAGGCGGAGTGCCAGGGAATTCTCCCAATGACATCGCCACAACAGATAGATTCGTAGAAATATCAGAGGATTGAAGCACAAATGCCGTCGTCACAAGTCGACCAATTTCCCGGTTTGGTACCTCTGGCAAAATTGTCACACTCCCGCTCTCAGGCATTATGTCCATATCCATGCCATCGCCAGGGGGAGGCTGTAGAAACAGAGCACCACGCCATGCAAAACATTTCATATCTTGAAGGCCAAACTTTGCAATGCCGGCAAGATCACGACTGTAGCGCAGAGTGGAGTAAAGAAACTGTGTTGCAGCGCCAAGAAAAACACTGTAGGGACATCGTAATGGTAGCGGTGATATAAGGCATCCAGTGAGACGAAAAATTGTTGGATCTGTGCATTGAAATGGCGATTTGTTCGGCGTGGCCTCCTCCACCTGTTCATCCACCCGGCTACACCCGCCTGTTGAGAAACTAGGATGGTGTCGAGGCACTAGAGCCCGTGGTAAGGGTTGAAGAGCATGTACCCCAATATGATGCGACGCCACATGACCGGAAGTGACATCCACGAAGAATGTGGTGCTCTCTCGATGCGTTGCATCAAAGAGATACTGCAGCATGCTCCATTCCGCCAACTCGTGAGTGAATAAGTGTACTGCATCTAGCCATTCTGCAGCATCGGCGGATGCCGCTTGAAAGGCAAGACGAAGCAGTGGGGCGTACCGAGGTGCTTCTGCCCTGAAAATGGCCATTCGCACTTTAGTGAGAGGTTTCGCCTGGAGTTGCATCGCCTTCCATCCCTTTGTACTTGAGGAAATTAAGAATGAGCCCCGTCTCTCACCCAGCCGATTCTCCTCATTCCCCGTCTCGAGTGAAAACAAAGGAGCCGCTTCCTTCTCAGCCGATACGGGCCCTTTAGGAACCTCCTCCACTTCTCGCAGGTGCTGTTGTACCGCCTCTGTAATCTCCTCCAAAAGTTTTACCATCTGTGATGCAGGTCGAGGGTATTCCGCCTCCGAAAGTTTATTCGAAGACAAAACGCGGTGTAGAAAACTGCATAGTGGCCCAGTTTTGCCATGATCAAACGCAATTTCAAGTAGACTTTCGTAGCGGGTGAGAAGTTCGCGCCGATTTCGATGAGAACGTGAGGCTCTTCTCGCCCCAATACGTTCCTTCACCTTTTCTTCCTGTGGTGGCTGCGATGACGTGTCGTTGTTATAAATTTTCCCACTTTGAAACACCCCCTCCTGATGTTGTTGTTGCTGTTGCTGTTGTTGTTCTTGGTGTTCTTGTTGGTGGTGAGGTTCATGGGACTTCTCCGCTTGAATCGGATTCCGGTTCTGAAAATTGGCCTTGTATTTGGATATAATGTGGAGAAGTGATGAGGGTTGACGTAACATGGAGGCTGTGCAGTTAAACTGCAAGGATGGGGGTAGTGTCAGTTGCCAACTGGAGGAATAGGCCGCACGGTCCGGCAATTGGGTGATAAACTCCTGAATGCCAACTGGTAGCACAAGGGGTCGACGCGCGTGACGGATGGGAATATGTCCAAGAAGGCAACATACCGCGGTTTCCATCGCTGCCAATGGACGAATAAAAGCTGAATTCTCTACCAGGTCCATGAGAGGCGTTCTATTGCCTCCCGTCGTCGCAGGAAACGGGTTCGGCTGTGCGCCGCCAGATGCCATATCACTTCCCCCATTTACCGTGAATCTGGAAGATGGAACGGCATGCGTGGCTGTACAAGTGGCAGGAGCAGCCTCCGCCAGCCTTGAATGTGCATCATGGGGCTCCGTGAGAGAGCATGGCATTGAGATGGCTGACGCAGCCGAGTCCTCCTCCATTCCAATGCTGTGAAAACGCAGTACAGATCCATCCGAAATAAAAAAAAGAAAAATCTCCTCACGCCGACGTTCCGAGGGCAAAGAACAAAGTTTTCTCCGTACATGTAAAACGCGTTGTAACGCCTTACTGCCACTTTCTTGGGCAGTGGTGGTGAAAGGGGTGGTGGTGTTATTGATGGTGGTTGTCGTAGCGTTGGTGTTATCGTGACTCTTTGAGCCAATTTCTCGCTCCGTCTGCACATGTTTGTCGCTGGTGTTTAAAAAACTCCTTACCGACTTTGGTTGACCCTTCTGCAACTCCAATTCATTCTTATCGACCTCCACCATGCGGTGCTGAAGAAACCAAGTGGGCACCGGCAAGGCACATGCTCCCAATGAGAGTGAGTTCCCTTTACCACTTCGCACAAAATCACAGAGTTGCATGGTTTGTGAAATTATCGCCTTGTGCTCCGGTCCATTTTCCGCAAGTTTGAGAAGCATGGCGGAGTGCCACTGTTGCTGCTGCTGGTGAGAAGAATGAATGTCACGATGATAACGAGATTGCTGTTGTTGTTGTTGTTGTCGTTGTGGGTGGTCGTGGGTGCCACTCGGGGACTGCGCCCTCCTCCCCTCCTCACGTCGCTCAGAATTTCCCGCCGCAGGCATCCATTCAACAACTGTCCCCTGCAGCTGTGGCTGTTGTTGATGCACAGTGTATGTGGACTCGGTGGAAGTCATTCGGGCATGGCAAGGTGTCCTCCTTCTCATGGCGTCATCAACCGCCGCCTCCTCTGCGCCATATGCCGTTGACGTAGGTGCCGTTTTTGCATGCGGGGCAATTAAAGGTGACGAGGAGCTGCCGCATGGGTAGTTTTCCTCATATTGGAGCGTCTGGTCACCCTTGGCTGCCTCTAGCGCCAAGATAGAGGAATAACGGTGTTCAAAGGTGGATACAAGGTGAAACACACACTGATAGAGCATGGCACGTGAATGAGCACACATATCACGCACCGCGTCATGAAGCTCACTGTGGCGAGCCGCAGCGTTCACAAGGAAAGGCAAGATGTATCCCCAGTGAAGATACATGGCGGGGGAAAAGTCCAGGTGCGCAAACCCTGCGCCGCGCTCCCATGTCTCGCTTCGCTCCGGCGCTGCCGCTACGGACGCGGCTCGACCCGCATCGTCCCCAAACGTGTTCCTGATGTTCTTATTTTTGTCGCCCACGTACGTACTGTCCATGCCGACCTCCTCCAGCTTCAGCGCAAGATGAAGCGCCTTCAAAAGAAGATGCACCGCAGGAATTGCGGAGCGCGCGTGGCGAGAGCGCCGTGTGGAGGCGGTCGTGAAGGGGCCAATTCCAGAAACGGAAGTGGAGGCGGCACTATTCCAAAACTGCACCGACTTCTGCAATGCACTAATCGCCTTTTGGGACTGCACACAAAAGTTCCTCAGCGTCTCCGGCTCCTTCGTATTGTTCCACTCGGCGTAGATAGCCATGCACACATCGAACAAAAGCAGACCAAACTCCCGCCACACCGATGCCAAAGTGACGGAAGAGCCAATAATGTGCTCCATGATACGGTATTCACGAAGAAGGACATCGGCTGGATTATATTCATCCTCCTCCCCATCGGGCATGTTGGCATCATGAGAAGAAGAGGTGTGAAATCGTGCCCGCAAAATCATTTCAAGATCACCCAATGAACCCGCACCCATGTGCGGATTGGGCACAAAAAAAGGTGCGGGTTCCAGTGAAATGTGTCGTCGTCGTTCATAAACCGCCTTTAACTTGCGCTGGCACTCAATGTGAAGCAACAGCAACTCTGCCTGCTCCTCACTCACAGGCCCGGATCCAAAAAAGGCATCCACAGGCATTTCCTCAAATTCCTTTCCACGCATAAAACCATGTGCATGCATGAGCCCCCTGCTGCACCTCAGCATCAATCCATCGGCGATTTCATTATGCAGGCACTCCAAATCCTTTGTGCAGAACAAATGCTGCAACTCAATACGATACTTCTCCAGCAACAACGTGTCACGATATTTCCTTTCCTCTCGTGTGTCATTGTTATCGATGGGAAGAGAATAAAAATGGTTAATGGTCCGCACAGCCCTCTTTGGCATACCTTCCCGCACAATCCGCTCAGAGAGTTCCAAAATGTTCCGCAGCTGCCATTCCGGAGAAACAAGAGTGCTCCGTAGAGCAATAATCTCGAACCGCTGCAAAACCGTACTGTGTGCAGGAAGAGGCCTTCCAGCAATGTTCTTTAGACGCCGCACTGTTGCCTCGCTGTACGCAACCCTCCCACGCCATCTACTCTGCTGCAGCTCCACACTCTCTCGCACACCATTTGCGCCAGTCGCAATGGAATTTTCTCTCCGGTTCTCAGCAGCACCACCGCTGCTATCACCCCCAGCAACATCCCCAACAACCGTCGTAGATCCTGCGAGATTGGCCATGGAAGCAGCCGTACCCACGACTTTCCCTGCACCATCCCCAAGTGCCGTTTTCAGTTCAATAGCATCTATGCCCTCTTCAAGGTCAGATATCTGCTGAAACATGATATTCAGCTCAAACTTCATTCGGGCATTCTCTGTATGAAAAACGGCGTATGATTCCCTTAAAGCCGCACGCAAGGCACTTAACACTCCCTTTGCCTCTTCGTATTCCTTTGAGGCGGTGAGAGCGGCGGCACGGAATATCTCCATCTGTTTGTAAAAGGAAAAGTCTCCAAAGCTGGGGGCGTATCGGTCTCGCTCGTCCCGCTTGTCGGCAAACAAATGATTGTAATCGATGTCCTCTACAAAGTCCCAGCGAGAGAGAGCCTGTGCGGCCGACACAACATACCGTTTAATATGTGGGATCACGGGCCCTCCAGTTGAGGGTGCCCATGCCGTCCCCAACAATGCACGCTGCAATGATTGCTGCCGCTGCTCCTCCTCTACCGTTAACGCCGATGCCCACTCCTCTTCAGGGGCCAGTGGAAAACCTTTAATCCTCCTCCACATGTTTATAATACTCTCAAAGTCATAAACGCGCATGTAACAACGCATCGCTCCCACAACATCGTTTGGAGACAAAATCGGTCTCGTTGAAGATGCAGGAGTCGTGCCCCTCTCGCCACCAGAAAGAATTCGTATAGTCGTCCAAATAGAGCGTAGGTACTGACGTGAGGCCGCTTCAAACCACCCCAACTCAAGAAAAAGTGGGGATGGCATACATTCCTCTTCATCCCGTTCCGCAACAGGCTCAAGGGCAACACATGCAGAAAGAACATCACCCTTATCACTGTCAAGATTCTGCCGCATTTCCCATGGTAATTTCTCTGTGGAATGATTGCATTTCCCCACGCCTGTCTTTTCGTCAGTGTTGGTAATACCCTTCCGATACTTACTTCTTGTGGCATGTAGCAATTGATATGCGGCATGACGAATACGAGGATCTTGTGAGAAGCAACGTGGGTCGTTATCATATTTAACATCCCCCAATGCCATCAGCAGACGTGCCAGTGCTTCCCATGAGAAACCCGAGAGAATCTGCTGCTGAGTGTACAACAAGAGGAGTGGCGGATTAAGGGCACGTTCGGCAAGCACTACCAGAAGGTCCAATGTAATGTAATTCTGCTCAATGGCCCGCGCAAGAGGCCTGGAGAAAAGAGAGGAGCTGTGTAAACGAATGTGGTGCGCCAAACGTGCCAACTCCGCGGCAATAATCTGCGGTAAATAATCGTGCATATGAACAAAGTCACATATAAGCCGCATCCATCGTCGCACAACCCTGTCGTCACACTTTGTGAGGTGTGACAAAAACGCTATGGGTAACAAATCCGAAGAAAAAATTGTAAAATGCCGCCGCACAAGCGTGGAACAAATGCTGACACACACATGATCACTGCTTTCTACAAGCATTGTGCAAAATAGCTCAAACCACGGTCGCCACTCGCTTGCGGAAAGGTTCTCATGCTGCAAAAAGAATCGCTGCTCCTCCGTCTCATAGCCCCCATCGTCGTTATCATCATCGTGATCATTCATATCAGCGGCAGCAGCGTCCTGTCCCTTGTTGTTGTCCTCCCTCTCCATGGGCGGAAGAGGGCGCTCTTCTCCTGGAGAAGCCACTCCCTCGATCGCAAAGTTCACAATGCTGTTGTTTCCGCTTGAAAGAACGTCCGGTTGACGTTTCAAACCACGCTGCTTGACAAAACTGCCACTTCCAACAGAAACGGCGGGAAGGAAATTGGAAGTCGGACGAGAGGCACTGTACGTGCCACATCCTAACAATGAGGAGTTTGTCCCTCGCACACTGCCCCGTCCCGATTCCGGTGTGACTTCTCTGGCTAGCAAAATGTGTGTCACACTATTCACACCGGATGTTGTTAAGGTCGCCAACGACGATGACACAATCGGGTGCGAGGAGAAAGACGCGGAGCGCGAACTTCTGAGTGGCTGCTTCCGCGTCCGAACTGGAATCGGAGTAGAATGTGGTAGTGCCTCACGCCTACCCAAGGGGGAGATGTCATCACGGAGTCCGTCGGCATGAATCCCCAGCGACACCGCCGACTCAATCGCCACGGCATCCAAATTTACATGACCCTGCAAATGATGTGCACTCCCTCCCCCACGCTCTTCTTCCTCTTTTGAGTATCTTGATGGCGGCGGCGGCGGTGGCGGCTGTGGTGGCTGTAGTGACGCTTGTGGTTTCTGAGCTCCCAGAGGCAGAAGGCACAGGCGGTAGTGTGGTGATGTGACGTTGCGAAAAAAATTCACCACCGGACTGTCCGGATCAAAACGTTCCTTTAGATATTCACCAATCATGAGGTCGTAGGACACGGCTGGAAGCCGGCAACGACCAGCCACAACCAACACACACGCGAGAAGGTCCATTTCAACAGGCGACTCCCATGATGTATTTGTCTCCCGAAAAGGAAAAGAGCGGGTATAATTGACCTCGGGGTCGTCGCCCGTGGTTTCCCGCATAATCACCACACGCGCTAACGAGGAACAGTTGAACCACACCTTCTGATCACCACGGCGGCGTCGTAGCTCCTGCTCCAATGAACTTCGATTCATAACAGACGCCAATTGAACGTCACTCACCTGACGCCGCGACCACGAAAACTGCCGTCTCCAATGAAAATCCAGATCATATCGTCGTTGTTTTTGTTGTTGTTGTTGTTGTTGTTGTTGTTGCACATAATTTAACTTCTGTTGTTCTTGTTGCTTCTCGGCTAAAACCTGCAGCATTGCCTTGTGGGCCTGTGCATAATGCCATAGCTGCAGCAAGACACTTTCTACAACCGCCGTAGCCTTTGTTGTCATGTCACAGTCGTTCAAAAAGTCCACTAGAACCTGTGCAATATCATGACTCACGTCCGCGTCAAAAACTGAGGTGGTAGCGGCAGAAAAAGAAAGAGAGGAGGTGGAAACGTGCAGCGCGCCGTTATAACCCGCCAGATCCAGCGTAGCAGATGTAATTGCGGGATTTCGCAACAGCTGCGCAAGAGCCAAGCAGGCGGACTGGACGGCTGACTGATCCGCAATGGGAAGAAGGGAGTGGATCGCCTTCAGTACTTCACGTATCACGCTGGTTGCCGTGTTCATCTCCACTGCAGTGGTATGTTTAATGGAGCAGACGTTGCAATGTCGTTGCTGCTCTTTGGAGCTTCTAGAGGCCGAAGAAATCTCCCCAAGAAGTCGCATCAACTCACCAAGAAGAAGCGAAAGAAACCTCTCGCAGTGCTCCTGCGCCAAATCAGGGACGGCTTTGCAAAGCGCCATGAGTAGCTTGCAGCAGCTTGGAAGCGCATACCATGAGAACACCCAGTGTTGTTCAAGAAAAGCCACCAAGAGTGCGTACATGGGTGCAATTGTGCGACCAAGCAACTTGCACAAGTTCCGCAAGG